CAACGTGTGACACAACACTTAGTGAAATTTCGCGTTTTGTGCCAAAATTTCGAAATAAGATGGCCACACCTTCGAAAAAGAATGCTGAAGGCACATAATTTAACGGAATGTACTTGTAAACGTCAATGGCATAGATTTTGAAAACAAAAAGAACTGAGATGATACAATCATACAAAGAATTCGGTACTTGGCGGCGGCGGAGGTGGTGGCAGAGGATTTCTAGGATACAGATAAGGGTATAATAACGGATTTTGTGGTTGACAAGAAGAAGAAGAAGACGGGGTATCAGTGGGATAATAAGAAGGAATAGGATATGAACAGGTGGTGGGTACTGCATTCGAGGTAGTTGATGTAATTGGGCGGAGGAGTCGTGAGTGCCGCATATGACATTGGATAATGGACTCAAAGACATAGTTGTTGGAAGTTGAGCATGATGATATGGAAAGGGAGTCGATGGAGCTGGTAACGTGAGAGGAGAACTTGAGGGTGATGGGCGACGAGAACTTGAGGGTCCGGGCCAGGTGTGGGAGGAATGTTCGAGGTGCATCGTCGTTTTGGTTGATCTTCGTTCACCCTGCTTTCATCTCCATCTCCAAGCTGTGATGCACACTTTTCACCTCTTGCTGACCGCGGTTTCGACGTATGGACGAGATTGTGGTTGAAGATGAAGAATTTGATGATACAAATGAGTCGGATAGTGACAAGGGTGAACGCGATGTAGGCTGGATGGACGATGAGGAACGGGAGTGATGAGGATGCAGGCAGATGACGGTCGACACCAAGGTCGACACAATGAATTTCACTAAGTCCTGTGTCACAAAATGTGACCTCGACAAGACTCAATCCGTTCGGCCCAGCCGTTTCTGAACGTAGCCTGCGGAGTTTGAAAGAAACGGTTGGTCACGAGCCTAGTGGTGGAAAGGCATGGTCTTGAATTTGTTTGGTAACAGAAGTAAAACAAACAAACAAAGGACCGGATTCCGTTGCATTCCGTTCCTGTGCATTCCGCGGATCATTCCGGTGTCAATTCCGGAATGCCCAAATTCCACCGGAATGGTAAGGCACCGGAATGGTGAAAATAGCAGGCCTCCCTGCCAAATTTCATTCCTCTGGAATCCACCGGAATCCGCCGGAATGACCGGATTCCTGCAGGAATTAGGGGGGCACTGATAAGACCTCGTAATATTCTCCAAAAAAAAAATTGTTCGCCCATAATCGTATTGACTTAAGGGTGAATAAATCCAACTGAATCCATGAATGTGAAAGGCTTCGAATCCATGAATGTGAAATGCCTGGCATTCCCCAAAATAGAAATCCTCCATAAGAAACAAAAATTAGATGAGCTCCAGCGGTCTCAATTCTTAATCCTACCACTAGAAATTTTGTATATGGGCCCTCAACATACTTTAGAATGTAATTGCCAAGAGTTTTGGGCAGTACCTGTAGTGCAGCATAAAAGTCAGACGAGTGCTCAGTAGAAACCGTTAGATCACGGTTTATGAGTAACGGATTACGACACCTTGTAATAGGGGGAGTCAGAGTGGCCGGTTCAGGGCGATTCAGCAACGATTCTAGATTGGGTTCAAAGTTGGTTCAAAGACGATTCCGAAAAATTCTTTTTGTCTGAATCGTCGTTGAACCGGGTCTAACTCTGACCCCCCCGGTTCAGCTTGAGGGTAAAATCTCCATTTCAGCTCGGTTCTGACCACCTCTAGAATCCAAATACATGTTCCACACTCACAATTGTGCACGACGTCAACAACGTATGCACCTGAGCAGCCAAAGTATGCAGTGTAGACGATGGCTTTGGACAGTATTTTTGTGAGGACGTTGTAGGCGGTTATTGCAATGATACTGAGCACAGGGAGAAAATTTACGGCTGAAAACATATTTTCAAGGAGATAAATAGATAGATATATTCTTGATCCATCCTAATGAGGAACAACCGAAGTAAATAAATATTTACAATCTAATGGATTAGGGTGTTATGGTACGAAGGAGGTAGAACCGAAACTTGAACCG